ATATTGTCTCACAAAGCAATCTGAATTATTTTAGCCTTCATTGATTGTTTTGTTAGCATTTTGGAAACCCAGTCAGCTGATCCCCCTCCCTCCTTTTTTTTAAAGGCAGTTGAGGTTAAGTGACTTGCCCAAGGTCACACAGCTAGTAAGTGTCAAGTGTTTGGTCTGAGACCGGATTTGAACTCAGGTCCTCCTGACTAAAGGGCCAGTGCTCTATTCACTGTGCCAACTAGCTGCCCCCAGTTAATCCCATTTTTACTAAAATTGGTGTGCATCTGTTTCAAACATGTACAGTACAAGTTAAGAGCCAAAATCAGCACTAAATATCGAGGAAATCGTATGATGAAATATCCTGAGGAATTGGTACAGCTCAACATATAACCACCTTTATTTTATTTGATATATGTTACCAACTTAAATGATTTCCCCTGTCACTAGGAAAGGGAAAAGAAAAGTCTAGAAAATTTAAGTGTAACTGGGTCATTATCTTCTCAAATATAATAATAAATAAATTATTGTTTGTAAACTATTAACAAGTTGGATCCCTAAGATCTGCTTTGAACAGTAAGTCTTGAATATAAGGTGATAGCATCTGGTCCCAGTGACTGTATGCTTAGAACCATGTTTTGTTGGTTAATTTCCTCTAACCACTAGAGGTCTCTAGGTTCACTTATAATATGGGGCTAATCACAATAAAGTGTGTTATAGAAACTCTACTCCTTTACATTCGGATTTTTTTGAACAATAAATGTAGGAGACTTGTTTTCTGCTAAACAGATTCTATTTCTCAGTAGATTTTATCCAACTCTGACATCTTTTTTGGATATTGTTATCTAGTATTTTGTTAAATCTTAACACACATACTTCTAAATGTATTTCCACATAAGAACACTCACTGCTCAACTTTTTTTCTCTTTTCAACCACAGATATTTTCTTTTAATATATTAAGGCCTTAATGTTTATAGAGCACTGTGCTTACAGCTGAGGTCTATGAAAAGTGTTGAGAAAACAAAAACTTGCTGAAATGGAGCTTACACAGTCTAGCTAATACACAAATATTTCAATGAGTTTGTTGGATGATCATTGTGGCGACTTCCATCAAATGTAGACTGCAGTTCTCACAAACCTTTTTATCGTGTTCTGTTCTAATCTTCCCTTAAATCATTTGTAAAGGATCTCTCCAACATGTTGGAGGCCTTCCTTTTAGGTTTTTTAATATTCCATTTGTATAATTCAGGATTCAGGCTGTTTATCCTTCACTCTCACTACTCAACTTGTCCATCTACTTTTCCAAGCGCACATTTCCTTGATGATATCTTTATTGCTGTTTCTTGTATTCAAGTAAGGTACCACCTACTTAAACCACATTGGATCAGCTATATCCAGGATGCATCTGCATCCCTCTTTTTCCCTTAGGTTGTTTCCATTTAATTTCTTTTATGTAATCTTTTTTCAGTGATTATGGATTTTTATTGAGGAGAGACTAGTATTCTAGTATAATACTAGTATACTAGCATTCTGGGGCTTTCTATGCACTTGACATAATGTTATCTGGAAGGTTCTGGAGGACTTCACTGTTTATGGGGAATCTCTCCCATTATTGACTCTGTAGCATATCCTGTATGACAGAGGCTCTATGGAGAATATCAGTCTCTTCTTATACTTCATTTGGCACTGTGGGCAAAAAGTTACCTAGATTGTATCCATTAACGAATCTTAGATCATGTTCATAATACATGGGAGAAAACTTGTAGGAAGAGAGCCTTAGGGAAATTTTTAAAATTTTATATATCATGGGCTCTTGTAAACTATATGCCTTTCAGTCACTTACACTCATTTCAGTAGTTCAGCTAATATTTAATAAGTATTTACTATCTGCAGAAGTATTTACCATCAGGATTGGGTCCTGAGCCCAGAGTCAGGAAGACCTGAGTTTAGATCCAGCCTCAAACACTAACTCTGTGACCTTAGCAAGTCATTTAACCTCCTTTTTCTTCAGGATTATTATGAGGATCAAGTAAGATAATGTTTATAAAGTGTTTAGCACTGTGCCTGGAACATAGTAGGTGCTATTTAAATGCTAGGTGGTGGTGTTATTGTTATTTCTTCAAGGAGCTTATCTTGTAGTGGTTCAGGGATGGCTGAGAAGACTATAACTTACTGTATATAAATAAGTTATATAAACTATATATAAGATGATATAGAGTAATTTCAAAAGGGAGGTAGCATTAATAGTAGGCATCAGGAAGAGACTCAGATAGGAGGGACTACCTCCTTCATCTGTGTCTTGAAAAAAGCTCAAGATTCTAAGATTGATATGAGAAAATTTAGCACCAATCAATAAAATATTTATTAACTGCCTTTTGTATGTCAGCCATGCTGCAAAATCTGTAGATAAAAGTAGAAGAATGACATTCTTAACTCACAGGGAGCTTACATTCCATGTACAGAGGAGGAAGCATGAAGCATGAGACTGAAGGTCATTGGGAAACAGCATTTCAATATGTCTAGAATAGAGCATATGAAATACAAATGGGGACCAGATTATGGAGGACCTTAGATGCCAGACTGAGAATTTTTTATTTCATCCTAGAGGCAGAACAGAGCCATCGAAGATTTTTGAGTAGAATTGTAAGTGCTCTATATTTTAGGAGTATCAGTTTGATATTCCTTTGTGGAGGAGGAGTAGATGAGGGGCAGAGAAGAGACGAGAGGCAAGGAAATCAATATAACATAACATAACATAACACATGTCATTTTTCACATGTTAATTCATTTGATTCTCAGGACAACTCTATGGGGTAAGTAGTATCATTCATTATCCCTATTCTACTGATGAGGAAACTAAGGCATATATAGGATAAGTAACTTGCCTCAGTCACCCTGCTAGTGAGAGTCTGAGGCAGAATTCAAACTCAGATCTTCCTGCCACCTAGTTGTAAAGAGAAGGAATAGGAGTGATTGAGCAAATTTGACGTTATTGAGGTGGTCTCGTAGAAAGAGCCCTTAGAAAAGGCCATTTCGCAGTGGATAGAGCACTGGCCCTGGAGTTAGGAGGACCTGAGTTCAAATCTGGCCTCAGACACTTGACATTTACTAGCTATGTGACCCTGGAAAAGTCACTTGACTCCATTGACTCCCTCCTTACTCCCCTTAAAAAAAAAAAAAGAGCCATTCGGTTTAGTAGGTTAAGACGTCCTTGATGGGGAAAGCAGTTAAGTAGGTTGTAAAACCGGGTTGGAAGGGATTGAGAAATGTGTTGGAGGTGAGGAAATAAAAGCAACTGTTGTAGAAATTTGAATGTGAAGGGAGAAGGGATATAGTTTTATTGTTTGAGGGGGTAGCAGATCTAGTTAATTATTATTTTAAGAATGGGAACAACTTGAGCATTATATATTAGATAAAGATAAATGCACTTATTGTGTGTCAGGCACTGTGCTAAGCATTGAAAATACAATTACAGGCATTGAGAAAGTGGGAGCTTTCACATTCTAATGGGAGAAGATTACACATAAAAGAGAGCTGAAAAGTGGGGAAGGGGTATTGCACTATGTAGGTGGTGATCCTGGTTCTTGGTGACATAAGGAGAAAACTCCTTATCAGAGCTGAAGTTGATTTTAAGAGTGGAATCCAAAATTCTTGTAGGGTGGAAGGAGGCAAAGATAATCATCACTGAAGTAGAGACAACATGGCTTGGAGCTGATGGCCAGGAAACTGGGCAGAGGGTTGATTCCCAGCATGTTTGTGTGACTGAAAAGGTGGTGTTCTATTAAAAAAGACTATTTGTAAAAGTCTGTTCCTTATTTTCTTAACAAATGGTTATATAGATCATTTTCAACCCTATAACGTGAAAATTGCTTGGTTAATAACTGCCCAGGAGGATGGATTTTATTACTGCATTTCCTCCTGGATAATCTTTCTCAGAATTACTTCTCCTTTCCACTGATATTCATATCCCATGTCGTACTTCTTCATGGTATCCAGTTTGCCAGATTTCATGAGTATCTCTTACCCTTCCCTTTTTCCTATTCTATACTCTGAACTGCCTGCCTCTTTTTATCCTATTTTGTCAGAGCCCAGGCTTTAATTAAGGAAAATGAAGGTTGAGAAAAGAAATAAGAAAAAAAAAAAGGGGGAGGGGTCAGAGAACATATACTCTTATAACACAGTGCTAATTTTTATTTTAAATTAAGTTTCTTTGGATCTCATTGTAAGTCTCACAACTTTCAGTGACTGTATTTTCACTTCCTATCTTTGCTTTGGACGTTACTTATTGATATTTATTTAAAATCACACTCACAAAGCAGCATTCTGTTTTGGCTGTGAATCCTTTAGTACTGGTTTTAGGGCAGATTTGCTCTATGATAGGAATATTTTAAATATTATTTGCATTTTATTTGTATTCTTTTTATTCTACTTTGTCATGCCTACTAAATAAAAGTATTGTTATTTTAATACATGTTTTAGAAATACTAAGAAAAACAACCCCGTGGGAGCACCTTGTTCAGTCACCTGGGATATAGTGTCTACTTCCATGGTAACAGTTGTAACTGTAACTCAGCCATGGGAGTTTGGGATTTTTTGTATGTTTTACCTTCTTTCCTCTTTTGTTTGGTCTTAACCTTACGAATTTGGAAGATTTTGCTCCTAAGAACACAAGTGAGCTCTGGTAATTCTGATTGTGTTTTTTATTTATATTTTGGAAAAAAGCAGTATTTCAGTTTGGTAATTTTTAACAAGGTGATTTCTTAGAAAATATTAGTTGATTTCAGAAATTATGTATTGAAAAATCTTTTAACTTAAATTATAGATAATTTTTTTGTTTAGAGAATGCTTATGAATGTTAAGTCTTAAAGGCAAAAATTGCAAAACTTACACATAAACTATATGTTAATTATCTTAAAATAGAGTAAAATTTTACCTGTGATAATAGATGTAGAAAAATGCCTTTTTTAAACCTAGTTTCTCTTACTGGAGGTATATTTTTTTATTTGCATAGGATCTAGTACTGGCAGAAAATAGCCCTGGAAGGGACAGTGCTGAGTATTTTATTGTTTTTGAACCTCAACTACCAGCTTTATCAAGAGCATTGGAACCATACCGTCTACCATTTATGTTTTATAATGGTGAGTTTTTCATGACAGGGATACTTAAAACTTTAATCACTTAGTGTTATTTTAATGTGCAGTATAGTTATTTCAGGTGTAATTAGGCAAATTGTTTCTGTTATTCAGTTTTATTGAAAACATTAATTTTACAGCATAAACATTTAAATATTATTTAAAGTAAATTATTGTGATTTTTTTTTACTAGACTTTAGGAAGCAGCAGCAGATGGCAACACTTACAAAAGAGAGAGACCAGCTGTCTCAGTCCATTGTTCTGTACCGAAATTTATTTGATGCCAGCCATCAGCTTATTAATGAAATGAAATGTAAGTCATGTCATTCAAGTGTTATTGTAAATTATTATGAGGGGATGGCAATAGCAGTTTAACAACTATATACTTATTAACAAAGGTGGTTTTGGTTATACCTTAGAAGAAAATGTGATTTTATGCAGCCAAATTAGGTAACTTAAGGAAACAAATGTGAATATATTTTGACAATACCTCCACTCTAGGCCCTAATGTACTTTTGAATTTTTTTTTTTTTTGGTGAGGCAGTTGGGGTTAAGTGACTTGCCCAGAGTCACACTGCTAGTAACTGTTATATATATGAGGCTGGACTTGAACTCAGGTCCTCCTGACTCCAGGGCTGGTGGGTGTTCTTATCCACTGCGCCACCTAGCTGCCCCCTCTAATGCACTTTTAAAAATATATTCTTTAATGATGATTTTCATTATACATACACATAATCATTAGGTTGTTTGTTTTCAGAATACTAATGAACCAAAGAACAAGGGCAATAATTTCTATTACTGCTTTTTATGAAAGTAAAGCAGTCATTGCTTATTTAATTAAAAATACAACCTATATGGATAGATCATTTCTCTTTGATAGACTTTGACTTCTTGATTATAATAGTCACATAGAGTTTTGTATACATTGTCTACCTCATTTCATTAGCTTTTGGATGAGCACCTAGTGGAAAGAGGGTGACAGGTGTGTGGCTTGAGAATTAGTAGCAGAAGATGCCACTACTTTCCTAAGTCCTCCCTTTTTTGTGTTTTGCCCTTTTGTTTTCTGAATGGCTAATGTTTGAATGTTAACATATAGATTCTTTAATATTGGTAAACATTTTGCCTTCTCTAGACACCAAAATATCATGATGAATCTAGTTCTAGAGTACAGGATAAAAATTACTACGTTGAATACATAGCTAAAACAATGTCATGATATTTTCATGTTTTAGTATCAAGCATGGAAAACCTTTAAGACATATAAAAAATGAACAATCCTTCCTGGACTGTGTTCTGGGTTATTTATTTTATGTATTACTTACTTTAGGCCAAGCCCAAGAAGCAGGGTCAAAAGAAGTCCATTTGAGAAATGAGCTAAAAAAACATCATATAAACATTCCAACACCACCACAGGTATGTTTGTCAAATATAATTATAAACACACATATATATTAAATATATATATGTATGTGTGTATGTTATTCTTAAATCCGAAGTTGAGAAAATGATTTATATCATACAAGAAATATTTTAACATTAATCTGAACTTAGTCTTAGTAGTGATAAGGGCACTGATTTTTTTGGTTAATAGAGCGGGTATTGGTTATAGATTACAGTTGTAGTTTGATCAGATGTCCTAGATGAGATTATCCAAGTCTTATGTTATCATGTTCTCAAAGGAGTTCAATCAGCAAATATTTTTTAAGTCTGTACGGGATCCCAAGTTATGCACATATGATTCAACAACAGTGATCGTTGTGGCTTCTAGAGATGCCTTTTCGTTCTTTCCCTCCTCTCGTATTTACAAGATATCTGGCTTTTCCCAGAGGACATTGTATTACTATGGGCTACCTTTTAGTGCTACCATACCCCAGAAATACTGGACTTTTTTCAAGTTTCAGATAAAACCCTAACTTTTACAGGAAGCCTCTCCTGATTCCCCTTCATGCTACTGCCTTCTTTCTGCTGATTATTTCCTGTTCATCCTGTAAATAGCTTATTCACACATAGTTATTCAAACCTTGTTGCCCCCCTTAGATTATGAGCTCCTTGAGAACAAAGACTGTCTTTTGCCTTCGTTAGTATAGGCCACATGTGGCCTTCTAGGTCCTTGGGTGTGGCCTTTTGACTGAGTCCAAGTTTTATAGAATAAATCCTTTTATTAAGGGGATTTGTTCTGTGAAGTCTGGATTTCATCAAAGGGCTGCACTTGAGGACCTACAGGGCCACATGTGGCCTTGAGGATGCAGGTTCTCCACCCCTAGATAGTATATAGGAGGGGCTTAATAAATATTTACTGACTAAATTCAGTATTCCCTCTTCTGTTCCCACCACTTTGTCTAGAATTTCTTTAATGACATACCTCATAATCTATATATTCATTTTAAGGTTTAGCTTAGGCATCATTTCCATAAAGTCACTCCTGATCCAATAAGGCAATAATAATTTTGTGTGTGTTTATCACCCTAGTAATAATCATTAATAGCGATACTGATCATTGTTGTTGAATCATATGTGTATAACTTGGGATCCTATACAGACTTAAAAAATATTTGCTGATTGAACTCCTTTTAGAACATGATAACTAGAAGAATTCAGAGTACTGCCTTTCCCTTCTACCAAAGGCTTGTTCAAAACAAAGAAAAATAAATTGCACGTTTTTCTCATTACTTATTTACTGATTTACTTTTTTATTGATTCAGACACATAAACTAAAAATTTGTCAGTTTTTAAAATAATAGTTGTTGAAATGTTTAATTGTGTGAAATGTAACTATAAGATGAAAGTGATCTTAAATACTTTAATTTCTTCTTTAACATTTACAGGTTTATATAGACATATTTCATCCAGCACTGATTTATGAGCCCAACAAGTTCAACTTTTTTCTTACTTTACAGTCTTATGAGATTTTCTTTTCAGAATAAATAAGAAAAAGGCTAACATTACCTACTTCTAGTTTAGATAAGCCTTAATGTTCTTTGAGGTTAAGTACTTTTCTCCTGGCCATTCAGCCATATTCCAATAGAATGTAAACTCCTTAAAGGCAGAGAAAGTTGTTTTGTTTTGTTTTGTCTGTACATCTTCAAGGGCTGGCATAATACCTTGTATAGATAGGGTAGGCTTTATTGTTGAAATGAACTAAAGTAAAGTGTGAGTGTCTGAACCTGGGGCTTTCTGACTTCGTTCAAATCCTGCACTCTTTTACTCTTCCAAGTTCCCTCTTTTTGAGGCTATTTTTAAATTGATGAAACAGTAGTCCACTTTGACTGGAACTAAGTGTGTGATGGATGGGCAATGGTAGGTTGCATCCAGATTCTGGAGGGCCTTTAATACTAGACAGAGGAGTTTTTTTGTTTTGTCTTTGGAGATAAGCAGGTATTTGATATTAAAGGACCTTTATTTTAATCTTTACTCTGTCCTTTGTTACCTATGTGAATTCAACGAGTCATTTAACCTTTCTGGGACTTATTTCCCTATCTGTAAAATGAAGAGATTGGACTAAATTATGTCTTAAGTACACTTCCAGTCCTAATTCTTTTGGCCATAAAAGTTTTTGAACCAAGAGGAACATGGGTAAATCTGTGTGTAATCATAATTGTTTTGACAGGTACCATGCAGGGTTGATTGAAGAAAGGGAAGCTTAGAAACAAGTAGACTTAATCAGGGCATCTATTGCCGTAGTTTGTGCTTAAGGCTCAAGAGGACCTCACATAGGGTGTTGGCTCTGTGAGTGAAGAGAAAAGGATAGATGCAAGAGATGTTCAGTAAATAGAATTAACTAAACTTGGTAACTTATTGATTAGATAATGGGGGCAGGGCTGAGGGCAAGAATGAAGAATCTAGGAAGGCTCAATGCAGTTGGATAGGAGTTTGGTGATACCCTTAACAAATATTGAAAAATTTGGAGGAGGAAAGATGGTGACTTCCATTTTGCATGTATTGCATATGATAGCATGTACAAACATGTCCAAATACCATTTAGCAGACATTTGTCATCTACTTTGTATAAGTCTTTGATGATAATATAGGAATGTGTATTAGGCCTGTAATTTCATTGATTTAGGAAAGTCCCAGATAAGGATCCCTCATCCACCAATACAGGCCTACATTTCTTTGCAACTTAAGAGTCTTATTGTGTTGCCTGTAGCTCTGAGAGGCTAAGTGACTTATCCCACCTCCTATAGTATTCTAGGCCTCAAGGGGCAAAGGGATGAAGGTTAGGGAGTTGGTTACAACGTATGTACACTTACTTACAGTTAAAGTAATAGGTGGTGATTTCATATGGGAGCAAGTGGTAGTAATTGGAAAGGAGCCATGTTGAAGACAACACTGCACTTATATCTTTAAGAAGCTAGGATTTTAATAAGTATAGGTAAGTGAAAGTATATGCCATTGGAGGCCACATGTTCAAAAGTGTGGGGGATGAAATTGAAATATTCTATGTAGGAAATATCTATCAGGCCAGTTGAGTGGAACAGAAAGTGAATGAAGGGGAATACTATTGTATAAGACTGAAAAGGCAAGGTGGCAGCTAGATTGTAGAGAAATTTAAATCCTGGATTGAGGCTTTTGTAGTTTGACTTAGAGACTCTAAGGAGCCATTGAGGATTTTTGAATGAGGGATTTGCTAGTGTGATCAGATATTATGTTTTACGGAACTTTTTCAATAGCTTTGTGGTGAATGGATAAGGCAGGTTTGGAAAGACTGAAGGCAGGGAAACATGACTTTTTGTAATAGGATGGGCAAAAGGTGATTAGGGTCCGACCTGGGGTAGAAGTTACGGCAGTAACCAAAAGACAACAGATGGAAGAGTAGTCTGATTTATCCTCTACAATAAAACTTGGCAACTTGATTGGATGTTGGAGGGGATAAGAAAAGGTAAGGTCAAGGATCACTTGAGGTGACTAAAAATACAGTGGTGTATTCAAAAGAAATGGGGACATTTGGAAGAGGGATGGGTTTTTAGGTAGAAAATTAATTTTTAAATGTTTTGCATTTGAACTTCTTGTGGGATGGTTGAAGGTGTTCAACAAGCAGTCAGTTATGTAGGACTAGAAGTCAGAAGAGAGTTGAGATAGGTTATAGATAAACTCATGAGTGATAATAATTGAATTCATGTCAGTTAATGAAATTACCAAAAGAGAAAAAGGAAAAGATCCAAGCACAGAGCCTTTAGAAATTCGGTATTTTATGGGGGGGGGGGGGTATCTCTGTGTGTGTGGGGGGGGGTTATAATGATCTAGTAGAAGAGACTGAAAAGGAATAGTTGGAAAAGTAGGTGAATCAAGGTAGCAGAGTATAGTCATGGAATCTAATGGAAGAAGATGAGTATCATGAAGAACAGAAGTAGTTAACTGTCAAAAATTGCAGAAAAGTCAAGGAGAGAATCAGGACTGTGAAAAAAGGCCTTTGGATTTATCAATTAAAAGATAATTTCAGTTGAATGTTCAGGTTGGAAACCATGTTGCAAAGCAGTGAGAAATAAGAGGGTGATGAGCAAATGGAGTCAATTTGTAGACAGACCTTTCTAAGAATTTAGTTTTTAAAAAAAAGTTTAACTTAAATATTTATTATTCTCTTCTCAGAAACCAGAAAGTTAAGAAAACAAACTAGATTTTTACACCCCATATAATCTGCAGTTGGACCTAACGCTCCCTAGTTCACCTTTTGAAGAGAAACATCATGTTTAACCAAAGACAGAAGGGTGTACACTCTGCAAATGTAGAATTTATAGAGTGAAAGGTAGGAGAGAAAGAAGATGGTAGCTTGGGATGCAGAGGCAAAGTCAAGTGAAGCTTTTTTTAAGGACAAGAAAGATTTAAATCTTTAAGGTTTTATTAAGAAATGAGCTAAGAAATAGGAGCCAGTAAATAGGAAAAGCTTGAAGATTAGAAATAAAAAGTACAGTTATCCCTTTCACAGCGTGACTTTCCCCATCGTGATTTCAATATATCATGGGTCAGTATAAGAAATTAGTGTAAATGGGAATCTTGGAGAAGTTTTGCGTAAGCTGCAGACGACATGTGAAGGCCAGCAGAAGACACAGAAAAAGTTCCTGAGAAGATATCAGTAAAAAATTTTAAAACCATCAGATTTCTCTTAAGTGTAACAGTCTTCTAAGTAGCTTAGCCAAGCTTTATTTAACGAAAGCCCTGAAAACAAATTTTAGTGACTTCTACCTACTTCCCAAAGTGAATATAAGCATGTTAATGTTGCCTAAAGTACTTGAAAACAAGTTCGTTAAAAATGGAAGATTATACAAAGTAGTAATCACAAAACTAAGGAATTTCAGAGTTTGTCTTTTGTTATCCATGTAGTATGATGAGCATTATTTTCCCCAAATTTGTTTCATTAAAAATTTTTTTTTATATTTTGTATTTTTCATACAGTATTTTTACTTGACATTGACATACATACATACATACATATATATATATGTATGTGTGTGTGTGTGTATATATATATATATATATATATATATACACACATACATACATATATAAACCTGTGACCAAATACTTAACCCACATTTAATTGGGTACTTAAATGCCCCATAAAAGAAAAAGAAAAAATTCAGACTTCAATGAGATATGAAGGAAGGGCCAAAAATTTTTATGTTTTACAGACCATGACCCTAACCCCTGTGATGTGGAAGGGGATAAGCATAGATCATATCAAAGGCACCAACAAAAGGCAAGGGTCACTTCATCCTCTGAACCTGGAATAAATAAAGAGAAGACTTATGAAAATAAAGAGAAATTTTGAGGTTGAAACTACAGGAAAAAGGCAATTTGTGATGGATGAATTTGATTTTTTTCTGTAAAGTAAAAGTGAGGTTATGTGTTTAAGAAAAGACATTGTAGCTAGCATTTGGCAAAGTGTCTGACACACAGTAGGTGCTAATTAAATTTTTATTGATTGATTATTGGCTAGCATTGGAGGTTTTTCAGTGAGGCATTCAAAGTGAAGAGTGTCAGGGATACAAGAAAGATCACCTCAGCAGTTGGTAAAACAACAGAGATAGTGGCTAAACAACATTGCATATCAACCAGTGCAATTTAATAGCTTACTTTAGTCCAGAAGAAGGGACTCTTAAATAAAACAATGATACGGGGTAGAGGGAGAGAGAGAGACAGAGAGACAGAGACAGATGGCATGCTCTTGCCTGCTCCACCACCCTGCGACCCGGGATCTCCCGATGGTTTGCCGAGATGGGGTTTGCTGCTGGCTTGCTGGGACACCTCCCATCTTGTACTGGTCCCCTTTAGCCACAGTAAGGAGGATTTTTCCCATTAATACTCCTAGCCTCTTGAGCTAAGAGACTGCTGTACCTTGTCTTTCTGCTGGCTCCAGTATTCCAGGATTTTTCCTTGGGTGGTATTCTCTGGGTTTTTCAAGGTCAGTAAGGGAGGGTGAGAGAGACTCACTGCTTACTCTGACATCTTGTCTCCCAGAAGTAAAAATAGCTCTCGCTAGTAAATGTCTAAGACTGAATTTGAACTTAGCTCTTTCTGATTCCAGGCTCAGCACGTTATCTACTCTTCCACCTAACTAACTCTGTAAGGAAAATTAGTTCAGACAGTTACGGTTTTAGTCATTTTATTTCTTCCTGTCTGTCTTATCCCACTGTGTTAGGTTTCCTTCCCCTATATTTTCAATTCTTATTCTGAGCACAGTAGTCAAATCCCAGTACCATTAAAAGGGATGTCAGTTGAGTGCCCAGTGGATCAACTGACATCCCTGTCATCTCTAGCTCAAATTCCATTCCCTGTCCACTACTCCCTTATATGGGTTGTTTCCTCGTGTTAGGATGTAAGCTCCTTGAAGTCAGGGACAGTCTCACTTCTTAGCTGTTAGCACTGTGCCTGGTACATAGTAAGTGCTTAATGGATGCTTTGTGCTTCATTTGTAATTTACAGCTGTCTCATATTGATATGCTTCTGAAACAAAAGTTATCAGAACAAGAGGGACTAAAGAAGCAACCTAGGAGATCATGTACTCTTCCAAACTGCCCTAAAGGCAATCCAGACATTTTAGGAAAGGTGAGTTTCTTTCTCTCTTTAACTCTTTTGAAGAGTAGTTTAGGTTATTTTCTCTCCCTCATCTTCATTTTTGTCTTATTTGTGTAATTAGCCCAAGTAATAGCATGTCTCTTCCTTCTTCAATGTTTGCTTTTGCTCTAGCCAAGTTTGAAATACATACACACCAATAGTTTAATAAGTCCTGTTCCCAGTGATAAGATGTGGTAGAATTTAAATAAATAGGTTAGTTGTTCTGTTAGGGCTTTGTTCCTGTTTAGCTTTTCTTTGCTTTATCAGGTTATAAGTAGGTGCTATCTTTACCAGTGGTTCAGATTTGAATGAGACTACAAAAGAAGAGTTGACAAAAAAGATCAAAATTTAATGTGAGTACTGAATCTGAAACGTTGACAAATGTGTTCCAACATGCTCTGATAATTTATTTTTATAAAACAAGTACAATTTGAATATGTTTCTTAATGGCAGAAATAGTGCATTTTTTTTTGTCTTTTGCTCTGTCAATTTTGTCTTTTTCCAGGTGAGTGGGGTTATTTACAGTTGCATATGCATAATTTTATCTATTTTCTAACCTAATCAGTATATTTTCAGCTTTTAATAGGTTCTTTCTCTTTCTAGTTGGGCTTGATACTTTCCTTTACATTCTTCTTTTTTATTTTCAGCTTTTTCTTCTCTAAATTTTTGTTTTATTTTGACTTTTCTTAGTGTGTATATGCATGAGTATGTTTGTATCCCCTTTTTGCTTGCTTTTCCTCATCTTTGTCTGTACATTTTTTTTCTTCCTATTCTTTCCTCAGGCTCCTGAATTCTGGTTTACCCTTATATACTACTAAAACTGTTCTGAGCGTAGTAATACCTACAGAGCGGAAGGAAGTGATGCATTTAGACTCAGTGCAGCACTTCCTCCTCCTCTGCAGGTAACACTTATTGTCAGACTTTTTGAGTACCATGCAGGGGTGCACTAATGAAATTAATATTGTCAGGAATTAAGATGAGAAACCGTTCTTAATTTTTCATCAACTCTGGATGTTGGCTAGTTTGGCAACAAATTTCATTGTTGAGCAAGTAAAATAAATTTCTACTTTGAGGTTATTTATCAACAGTATGCCATAAAGTCAGATAGCCAGTTTTCTTAGATAGTAGCATTGAGTATTTTGGGAATGTACCTCTTTTCATTAGTAGCCTATGTAGAACCACATCAAAGAGGTAGCATAGTGTTTACATTAAGATTGGGTAGTCGTTTTTAGTACTGGCTTAAAAAATTAGAAATTCTGAAAAAAAGTTGAAAAAATAGTTTTTACAAAGCTTAAAAACCACACAGATTGTGGAACAAGATGTGTAGTTTCTTGGTCTTTTTTATCTTTGTAAAATATTCTCAGTAAGAAAATAGATTTTTTAAAAATCTCCTGTGTTTTTTAGTTTTTCCATTTATTTATTTATTTATTTCCCATATGCTTTTGAGTTGAAAATTTTTCTCCCTTTTTCTCCCTCCCCCCCACCCTCCCTGAGACGGCACGCAATCTGACATAGGCTTTACATTTACATACCCATTAAACATAATTTTCACATTAGTGAAGTTGTAAGTAAAAATTAAAACCAATAGGAGGAACCATCAGAAAGATGAAACAGATCTCAACAGAAGGTAAAAATAAGTGAGAGCGATTCGACTTCCATAGTTCTTTCTTTGGATGTGGACAGCATTTTCCATCCCAAGGCCTCTGGAGATGTCTTAGATCGTTGTAATGCTGAGAAGGGTTCAGTTTAACATTCTTAGTCATTGCATAACGTGGCTGCTATTGTGTACAAAGTCCTGTTGGTTCTGCTCACTTCACTCAGCATCAGACCATATAAGTCTTTCCAGGTTTTTCTGAAGTCAGCCTGTTCATCATTTCTTATAGCACAATAGTATTCCATTACATTCATATACCACAACTTGCTCAGCCATTCCCCAGCTGATGGGCATCCTCGCAATTTCCAATTCTTTGCCCCCACAAAAAGAGCTGCTATATATATTTTTGTATATGTGGGTCCTTTTCCCATTTGTTTGATCTCTTTGGGATATAGCCCTAGAAGTGCTATTTTTGTAGCCCTTTGGGCATAGTTCCAAATTGTTCTCCAAAATGGTTGGATCATTTCACAACTCCACCAACAATGTATTAGCGTTCCAATTTTCCCACATCCTCTCCAACATTTATCATTTTCCTGTTTTGTCATGTTGGCCAATCTGATAGGTGTGATGTGGTACCTCAGAGTTGTTTTGATTTGCATTTCTCTAATCAATAACGATTTAGAGCATTTTAAGAAAATAGATTTGTAGAAATGGTTATTTATTCCTAAACATTTATAAGAGATTCGGTTTCCAATCACTCAGGCAGAATGGCACCCTGTTTCAAGTGATTTAAACAGTCGTAAAGTATGAGTGAGAGATAATTTGCTAAAGCTTAAATGAAGTTTAATACTTGAAGTGATTTAACAAAATTTTTAATCCATTAAAAAGATGTTTCCTTTCTTTTAACTTCGTTTTTTCTTCTTCTCACTCTAAGAAAAAAAATTAATGACTTCCTGAAAGAGAAATTTCTATCCATATAAGGAAACTAGAGCTGAGAGTTTTCCACGTGTTACTGGACAGCTTGAATCATAGGAACAATATGGAAATTATCTTTTCCTTTTCCTGCTGCATCTAAATGCTGCTGAGATCAGACATAATGCCAAATAATCAAACATTATGCCACTTTCCTAGCCACGTAAAATTTAGTCTTGAAAAGAGAGGCTTTTTTAGTAAATAACCAATAGTCAGTACCAAGATAAGAATCTAATCTCCCCAGCCAGCAGAAGAACTGTTCCTCAGTTTAACCTCTTTGTCTTTTTTTTTCTTTATTCGTTAGCTCCATGCCTTCTTGACTTAGCACAAACAAATAAGGGAGTCTACCCTAGGTCTGGAAGGGGGGGATGACTTGATTTAACCCTCGGATGGATGCTTCAGTAATTTTCTCCTCAGGTTAAAAATACTTTGAAATTATTTTATCTTTTCAGGGCCACTGCCAATACCACTAAATGATGAAAAATTAATAACTGAAGAAAATAGCAGTGCTAGCTTAGGTTGTATTCAACAAAGTAGAAGTTGGAAGGAACAACATTTAAAATTATCTGTAGTTTTAATCTATTTTCAGAATTTGTATATAGATCTAAGAGTACTGTTTTCCTCCTCTATTTTGTAAATAAATGACATCTAAGTATTGTTTTTGCTTTTGATATAGACATCTTAGAACTTTTGACTTTCGGCTAACTCTGAATATGACACGATGAATTGAAAGACCCAGCTTCTGCATGTATCTTCACCAACAGATGCTTTAGTATATATATATGTCTTTTTGCTCACGTATCTACCAGGAAGTTAGCTTTGGGTTGTACCATGATTTCAAAAATAGGGACTACCCATAAATGAAACCTAATTATGTAACCAAGGTGAATGTGAGTGTTGCACAATTGAAATCTGTCCCCTTTGATCATAAAGAAATAAGAACATTGATAGTGCTCTTTTCCCTTTCCTGCAGATATTCAGTTACTGTTGGGCTAGTTTCTCTCATTTTCTTCCTGCCTCATTTCCCTTTTTCTCCTTGGTTAAATCCTGGAAAATTGTGGTCTAAGCATAATGATTTTGGTGACTCTCACAGTAGTGTGTGACAGCTTTGATTACAAAACCAGAAGTGTACAAAAGAACTGTAAGTGGACGAGCTGGAGCCAACTTTCACGACTGATATTCTAACATTATGTGAAACTTGAACTAGGAAGTTACTGTTAAAAGGCAGACATTATGAGACCATAGTCTCTCAGATAAGCAACATTTCAGGTGAAAGAATAGTGAGAATCTACAAAATTTATTTTAAAGTATATTTTTATTAATGTAATAAATGTACAAATATTTGAGGAAGCTTTCTCAGCATCTGTATTTTAAATGGTGTATGAATTGTCTGTTAAAATGTTAAATATCTTATTTTTTCATTTGTCATCTTTTCAGATCTAAAGAATTTAATTATTTAGGGACAAAATTGTACAAAACTTTGAGTGTAAAAGATTTGAGCCAGTAAACAAGTTTTTTTGACCCTAGAGTGTTATCAGTATGTTTTTAAGTGGATTGGAAAATGTTAAAATTTTCAAGATTCCTAAATTCAAGATACGTCTTTGCAACCATCAAAAGTGTTATTATTTAGGCAAATATACACTTGGATTTTTAAAATCTTCACATTTTTGTGCATTTTTAAAATTTTAATTTTGAATGTGGTTTATAGATTGCACACTTGGCACAGATTGAAGATGATGAAGCTGCAAAGGTTATTTCTTGGCATTTGGCAAGTGACATGGACTGCGTGGTTACTCTGACCACTGATGCTGCACGTAGAATCTTTGATGAAACTCAGGGTCGACAACAGGTGTTGCCACTTGATTCTATTTATAAGAAGACTCTTCCAGATTGGAACAGGTTAGAAAAATGTGAACTTAAACATTTTGTTTTGTCTAAAGTACATTTCTAAGCTCTTTTTCTTTTTTGGATAAAAATAATTTAAATTGAGGCCAATTTTAAAAAAGACATTTAAAATAACTTACAGAATAGTAAATCACTTAAATAATTGCAAATTTTGTCATATTTATTGAGCACCATTAATAAGTGCTTCATAGCTACACTGCCATTTTTATCAGTGCTAATATTGATAATATAGTGGAACTGATCACATTTGAAATTTAGTTTCTGAAGATTGTTACATTATATGCGTGTACATACCAAAAAAGAAGCAGATCCATAGTATTTGCTGAATACAAGTTTTTAACATTCCAAGAATGGGGATATCCCACTAATACAGTGCTGTACAGGATAGTATATTTAAAAGGAATAAGTAGGTTTCACCTTTCACCCTTTCTTCTCCTTTTTGTGCTTTCAGGTAGAGGAGGGAATCAAAAGAGAAACAATATACAGTAGAGTGACTGAACTAGACTAAGCTGGAAATGAGAATTCTAGGCTGTATTAGAGATAAAATTTACATAGCCCTCAAAACTTATTGATACTTACTTGATAATAATTCATTGCTTTTTCTTATTTTTTTTTCTTCCCCTACAATCTGAACTCATCACTGAACTGAAACCTCTCTCTCCAAAATTTTCAATGATCTTTAAAATATTTTTTATTGATGTCTTTTGGGTTTACTTGACCTTTATTTTCTAATAAAGCTTTTTCCTACCCAGGGAACTATTCCTTATAACAAAAAGAAAATCTAACCCATAAGCAGAGTCAAACAGGTTTTATATGTTCTATACCCATGATCTCCCATTTCCATGTATTTTCTCATTTCTTCCTTGGGGCCAAGCTTGATTATTATGATTACATAGCTTTTAGTTTTAATTGATTTTATTTTTGGTCTTTCTATTTATTTTATTATCATAATTTATATTGTTTTCCTGGTTCTGCTTGCTTCAGTTTTATTAGTTATAGGTATTCTCGTCCAACTCTTTACCCCTGGCCCCACAATATCTCTTCATGTCCATCTCTTTCACTCTACCACATCCACTTAATTCAAGGTTTTATCACCTTTTTTCCTGTACTATTATAATGGCCTTCTAATTTCCATCTCAGTTTATCTGCCATCTCTTATATAATAACTGATTCTCTCTGTCTCCCCCCCCCCTCCCTCCAGCCTATCTTCTCTACCAAGCTATTATTGCCTCTCTCCACAGATTACCTTATATTTATTTTTCACCTGATTTGTACATACTTATACGTGTGTGTGTGTGTGTGTGTGTGTGTGTGCTTTCTCTGATCCTTTGAAGGCAGTAACTTTAAAAAAAAATCTTCGTGTTCCTACTGCCTAGCATAGTTAGTACCTGTCATGTGGTAGATATATACTAAATGCTTATTGATTAATGCATTTATTTGAACACTAATGCTACCAGAAAACTGGGAAAAATTGCAAAGAAATCACTTTGTCTTTTTTACTTTTTTTTTTGAACCTGTTCTTCTGTGTTTCCTAGCTATCCAGTACCCTTCATTGTTTTTACTCAACGGCCTAGATTCCCCTCTTCCATCCCAAAATTTCTTTCCTTACTCTGGGTCCAGTAAAATAAAAACAGAAACATGTACTTGCTGAGTATTATTATCTGAGTTTCAGTAATGACCTAATTAACCAATAATTTGTGCCTCTTTAACTGCTTGATTTTTATCTATCATTTAGATGAGACAGTGATCCTTGCTTCTCAGAGTGTGTAGCCTAATATAATTATAAGGCATATACAGGGATAAATGTGTCAAATATATGCACGCTTGTCGCTTTGTAAAGGTCCAAGTAAAGAGAGAGATGATTACTGCATAATGGTTGGATGGTAGAATATGCAGAACCTTCCTTTATAGGAAATGGCACTTGGGTGACACTATCAAGGATTAGTACGGTTTCAGTACGTAGAAGCAGCAGGACATTGCAGATATTGGGAATGACCCACGCTGTGGTCAGCAAAGGCACCTACAGCATAAGATATCAATCATTCAATCAGCAAACATTTATTAAAGCCTTATAATATGTCAGGCACTGTCCTAGAAGCTGGGGATACATAGACAAAGAATGAATTCATCGCCACTCTCAAGTAGCTTACATGCTTCCCCCCTTCCCCCCTTTAAGGCAGTTGGGGTTAAGTGACTTGTCCAGGGTCACACAGCTAGTAAGTGTTTGGTCTGAGGCCGGATTTGAATTCAGGGCCAGTGCTCTATCCACTGTGCCACCTAGCTGCCCCTAGTAGCTTACATTCTAATGGAGGAAACAAAAAGCACATACGTAATACAGAAGAAATATAAAGAGAAGAAATACAAGTAGTTTGAAAAATTAGAGCACTGTCAGTTGGGGAATTGGTAAAGGCTTTATTTAGAATGTGGTGCATGAACAGTGTTTTAAAGAAAGAGGAGGATTCTATGGGGAAGAAGTGGGAAAGCAAATAGATTCCAAGCATGGGAGACAGGCATAGCGAGGAGATGACATGCCATTTGTGGGTAATCCAGAGGTCAGAGAGTAGTAGGCTGGAAAAAACGGTTGGGGCCAGGTTGTACCAGATTATAAAAGGCCTTGAGTAACTAGCTAAGGATTTTGGCAATAAGTAGTTACTGAAGGATTAAAGCAGGTGATAATCAAATTTGTTCATGATTGAAGGAGAGACAATGGATGTAAGAAAATTGGATAGGAGCAACACAAGGAGGCCCTGTACTAGGGTGATGTGTAGAAATACAGAGTTCCGGAAGGGACAGATGTGAGAGATACTGTGGAGGTAGCATCGATAAGACTTGACATGTGACTGGATATGGAAGAAGTAAGAAAGAGTCAAAAGGGGAGAGTAGAGTCTAAGACTGGACACCAAACTTTTGAAAATGAGTCAATTCTGCTATATGTAGAAATAGAGAATCAGAAGCTAGAGCATTTTTTGGGGAAAGCTAATAAGCATGACTTTTTAGATATATTTTTAAAAGTGTATTCTGAACTTAATGCAAAAATATCAGCATTTTCATATGTGAATTAAAATCTCTTCCACATTTCAGTGTATTACTTTCAAAACTGCTGCCTGTATGTTACCTTTTGTACCACTGTAAAATTGTTTAAATATTTCAGTGATCCTTCTCTTCTATCATTCCTGCTTTTTTTGTTTTTACACTACTTTCTCCCCACCCCATCCCTATTTACTTCAATTTAAGATTAAAAGCAACAGCATTTAATGAATAAGCACAAATCTACCCAGTGGCCATGACCAAAAATGTTATGTGTGTCTCTTTCTGCACCTTAAGTCCATCACCTCTTTGTCAGAAAGTTAGTATTGTAAGTCCTTTGATGTGCTTTGATCAGAGTACTGAAGTCTCTCACTTTGTTCACTTGTTCTGCTCACTTTATTCTCCGTCATATCCTATTTCCCAGGATTTTCTGAAATTATCTCTAATGTCATTTCTTACAGCACAGTAATATTCCATTACATTTATTTACTGAAATTTTTCCAACCATTTCTCAATTGATAAATAACTCCTTAATTTCTAGGTCTTCCTCTCCACCCCCTTTTAATCCTTCCTTCAGTATTAGGAATTTTGTTTTGCTTGTAACTATCCTCCCCCTCAGTATTATTATTATTTTCCTTAACTCCAGCCACCCATCCATCATCTCCCATTCCTGCCGGTGCCTTTGTTGAGTTGGATGTATTTCTAGGCCAAATTTTGTGAGCTTCATTTGTGATTTTAATTCCCCATTACCCAGTACAGGTAACGGTGAGGTTCATTTAATATCAGCTGCTCCTACCTGTTTTACCATTTTGGTATATGTTTCTTCTCACATACCCAAGTTCTTAGGAATAATAAGTTCTAGCCCTTCTCACCCTGTAAACTCACTCTACTTCACTAGCCTTATCTCCTTGAAAGGTTCCTCCTTCCCTGCACCTCCTTCCCCTGATTGCTTCCAGAAACCTCCATTTTAAATGGAGTGCACAGACCAGCCATGTTCGCTTCTTTATTCCTCTCTGGGCTTTGTTGCTGATTCTGTGGCTTCCTTTCTCCACCAAACCTTTTATACTATTTGTTGTCTTCTGCCATTAAAAAGTAGGCTCATTTAGGACAGCGAATATGTATCTTTTTGTTGTATTCCTAGTGCTTAGCACAGTCCTTGGCCCATAGTGATCACTTAATAAATGTCCTGGAGCTCTATCCATTGCGCCACCTAGTTGCCCCTCTTTCCCCTCTTAAAGTCCTCAGAACCAAACCAAACCACCTCCAGATCTTCTCTTTTTCTTATTTAAATCTGCATGCCCTTTGAAAAAGTTTTTGAGGGACACTTCTCCTCTTATTAGAAAGTAAGCCCTTCACTAACATACAGCACTTTCATTTGCTTAGATAATTTTACTTTTCTAAATTTCTCTTGGATCTTATGTTTGCATTTCAAAGTTCTTGCTTAGCTCTGGCCTTTTCATTAATAATGCTTGAAAATCCTCTGTCTGTTAAAGGTCTATTCCCTGTAGGATTATACTCAGCTATGCAGATTAAGTTATTCTTAGTTGTAAGCCTATTTCCTTTTTATTTTGCATTGCTGTTTTCTAAGATCTCCTCTTCTATATGTGAGAAGCTGCCGAGTCTTGTGTAATCCTGGCTGTGGGACTTGAATCCTTCTTCTTCTCCCCCCCCCCCCCAAAAAGCTTTTAGTATTTTGAGATAAGGATGTGGATTTTGGCAATGGCATTCCTGGCCTTTAAATTCTTCTTTCAAGAGGTGATTGGTGAATTACTTCTGTTTTCATTTTGCCTTCTGATTCTTGTAGACCTAAGCAGTTTTCAGTTGTGATTTCTTAACATAAAGCACTGACATTTTTTTCCCTTTACTTTTGTAATCGTGACTTTTGAGGAATCCAATGACTCTTAAATTATTTTTCCTGTTTTCTTTTAGGTATTCACATAGTCCTTGTGGGAAACCACTTTTTCCCTTTCAGTCTTTGCTTATAGTTGTTACGGTATTACTCTCTTGATTTAGAGTTTTGAATATTTTTGGATCCATTATAATTCTTTATATGGCCTACTTCTTTTTTGTATTACTCATTACTTCATTTTTTAGAGGGAAGGAGGTAATCAGCTCTGCTTCATGTCTACCTTGGTCACTTGGTTTTTCTTGTGTTGACCTTTACCTCCTTCAGTTTGGCCCCTCTGGATCTTTGAAGTTCATAGTATTGATTTTGAGGCCTTCTCTAGCATCTCACGGTGGAGTCTTAGTATCCTAGGACCCTAGAACGTCTAGGCCGGGGCTGTGCTGCTTTGAGTACCATTGTGCTCTGACTGGTTGCTGCTGCTCTTGAGCCATTTGAAGGGCCCTTATGAGTTTCCAACCAACCTGGGACTTTCTTAGGGGAGACCTCCTGCCCCCATACACCAAACCTTTCAGGCTACAATTGTCTCTGGCCAGTCTGTCATTGTCTTAGGAGACTTTTGGCTTATTTGCCTGAGTGAAGGCTCCAACTTGGCTAGCAACACCGTTTCCTGTTGCCTATGGTTTTCTGGCTGACTTTTAGTGTGTTTCAGGAGGGTAGAAATCACAGTAGTTTTTCATTTCATTTCTTGATGTGTGATTTTTTCCCCCCTGCAGTAGTTACATGGGACCTGCCTCCATTCAGGCTACTATGTTGGCCTAAAGTCTGTTTTAGATATATTGGGTTTGAGGTGCCAGAAGAATATCCAGGGATGGATTATCTTGGGAGGGGCCATATGGGGTTCGAGAAAACTCAAGATTGGAGGGAATGATTTGAGAATCTGTCTGTATAGACTTGATTGGTTGTTGTCCTCCATTCTTGAACAGGACCAAAATGACATCACTGTGTTAGTGTCGAGTTACAGCATGTCCAACTGTGGCTGTTTAGACCAATATGAGCTCAGAATGCTCTACCATAGATCGGGCACAAATAGTCCATGTGATCATGTGGGGTGGATTCTTTAAATTTGTGCATCTCACATTTCTTTTGAGCTACTTCAGTTCTGCTTAGCTTTTAGAGCACAGCATCTTCTCTGATTGGGGGGCAGGGAGGCATGCCATGTTGGGTGGTTCTGTGCCAGCATCTCCCGTGTTATACAATTCCAAAGTTCTGAAGAGAGACCAGTGTCCTTGTGTCACTTCTTCTGGCTACCACATGAGCGCTTGCCGTGTGTGAGTTCTCCACCAAATAGTCTTTTAGGCAAGTGTACATTTGGCATTCGAACAACATGGCCAGCCCATTGTACTTGTGCTTTCTGCAGTAGTTTGAATGCTTAGCATTTTCGTTTGAGAAAGGACGTCAGTATCTGGTATCTTATCTTATCCTGCCAGGTGATTTTCGGAATCTTCCTAAGACGATTCAAATAGAAGTGATTCAGTTTCCTTGCATGGCATTGGTATACTGTCCAGATTTCACAGGTAGTATACACTTGAAAATAAAGCCATGAAAATGAATTTAATTATCACTGTCATGTGAGAGAAAACAATAGGGTCAGGGTCACTGCTTTAAGGACAAAGACATGAAGAGGTCTAAAAAAAAGTATCCAGTAAAGGAGACAGATGATGGATATTTGTCTTTGTACCCTATAGTGCCTTGGAGTATAGTAGATAGTTAAAAATTATTAGATTGAATCCAGCATAAGATTTGGGAAGCCCCTGACTATAATGTACTCACCTTGCTTCCTTAAACCTTTTGAGAAGATTGTGACTCTAATATAGGGTTTAACCTTATGTTGGGAACTGTAGTATCTTTTAAAAAGTATATATGATCAAATGATAAATATGGCCCAGTCTAGATTAATTTTCTCTGTAACTTCAGAAGATGAAATAGGAAAGACAAAACAAATATTTTTCTAATATAAATGTTTGTAGTCCTCAGTGCAGAATAGCTGAATAGTTTGGGAAGCACTCAATTTAACAAACCCTCTCTAGATTCAGATTTTTCAGAATTAAGTTATATGTGAATATTAGGGAGTTAATTATATGGTCAAAATTATATACACTAGCTCTTCATTATGTTTTTCAAAGTAATGATGAGAGAAACTTAACTCTAATATAATATGTTGTTTTTCATCCAGGCCTCTTCCTCATTTACGAAATGGAAAAAATTATTTCAGACCTATTGGTAATCCAGTATTTGCCAGAGATTTGTTAACATTTCCAGACAATACAGATCATTGTCAAACAGGTAAAGGATGGGATGTTATTTAATAGGTGTAGAGACAGAAGCTATCTATTTGGTATAAATGTATTTCATATGGAATCAGGTCTTTGTTAGCAGTACTATGCAAATTCATACTTCTTTTAATTTTTAGAAAATTGATTTGTCTCTAGAAGGCTATTATTAATTGTTGGCAGTTTTATTTGTCATTCCTAGTCTAGGAGGAAGGTATGGGATATAATTACAAAAATTAGCGTGTTCACTTAAAATATTTGCCATTTGTCTTTAATTTTATTTTAATACATTAATGGGGAAAGTTCTCATAATTTGAAATTGGATTTTCGTTAATTTTCTGTTTTAGTGTTTGGGATGCTATTAGGAGATACCATCATTTTGGACAATTTGGACGCTGCCAACCATTATAGAAAAGAGGTATGTTTATTTGAATTTGTATTTTTAATTTTCTCCTTATATTACATTTTTAAATAATGATTTTGCAGCTCACACGCAGAAAACAGACCCATTCACAGTTATGGGACAATCAGTCCTATTAGCAGTTTGAAAGAAAACAATGCTAAAAAACTTCACACCATTCAAAATACCTGAAATGTCAATATACTTTGAAAGTCTGGTCTGATAACATTATTCCTTTCCTGTACTTATAAATATTGTGAACTAAACAACATGATCTAATACATATTGGGAGTGATTTGAATTTTGATAATTTGACCTAAATTTCAAGTGTCAAAGGAAGCAAACTAGGTTTATCTTGTTTTCCTAAAAATAGACCTAACTCTTCTAATGGCTTAGAATTATCCTAAGTTGTTTTATACTATGGGAGTGGTTTGGTTGGCCTGTTATGGATATGTATAGTATGCCCACACATGAATTTGCCACATGTGGGCTATAACATATACAGTACTTTATTTAAACTGTCTTAGAAGTTTATTCCTTCAGCACAACTCTTTATCAGTATACAAGTTGCCTTAGGGGCCTTTGAAAGGGTTAATTCTTTACAGAATTAAACTGTTATCTATAGATTCAATGTGTCTCAAACTGAACTCATTATATTTCCCCAAACTAACTCTTCTTCCTAATTTCCCCCATTAATTAGGAGGGTAGCACATCCTCCCAGTTTAGCTGGGTTTACAATGAAGGCATCGGACCTTGACTTCTCACTCTCTTTCAGCCACCTTACGCAATCAGTTGTCAAATCCTATCATTTCTACCTTTGCAACATCTCTTGTATAGGCTACTTTTCTCCTAAGATGTTGCCACTACACTAGTAGAGGTCCTCATCATCTCACACTTCCTCCATTGTAATAGCCTGCTGATTGTTCTTTGCTTTAAATCTCCCCCTTCTCCAATCCACCTTCCTTTCACTTATCAGATTGATCTTCCTAAAGCATAGGTCTGACTATGTTGTTCCCTTATTCAGTAAACTCTAATGGCTCTCTAGGACCTCCAAGATCAGATCTAATATAAAATCCTCTGTTGGCATTCAAAATCCTTTATAGCATTGCCCTTTCCTACCTTTCTAGTTTTCTCCACACTTTGCTCCCTTTCACGTACTCTGAGATTTTGTGACATTACCCTCTTTGGTATTTCTTACACAAGATACTTCATATTCCTTCTGCAAGATGTTCCATACCCTGCCTCTGGGCTTTTTACTGTCTGTCTTGCATGCCTGGAATTCTCTTCCCTCCTGGCTTTACTGGCTTCCTTCAGGTGCCATCTAAAATCCAACCTTTTTTTTCTTTTTTTTTTTAAAGGCAGTTGGGGTTAAGTGACTTGCCCCCAGGGTCACACAGCTAGTAAGTGTCATGTGTTTGATCTGAGGCTGGATTCGAACTCAGGTCCTCCTGACTTTAGGGCCAATGCTCCATCCACTGTGCCACCTAGCTGCCCCTAAAATCCAAACTACTTCAACAACCCTTTTTTTATCTCCCTTAGTGATAGTTCCTTTGCTCTAAGAATATCTCCAAATCTTTCTATGTCTTGTTTATATATATAGTTGTTTTCATGCTGTCTCCCTTAAAGTATATATATACATACCTACCTATCTACATGCACATATGCTAGATAGATATGTAAAATTTTAAAATCCCCTGGTATCTCCTTTAAAAGAAAAAATAATTTGGAGGGTAATTATTTACCTTTCAAAGCTACTCTTAGTGTAGGCATGTAGGCTTAGATTAACTAATAGATTATTACTGCTGAAATTGCCTCTTCCAGCTACTGTCCTATGTGTCTCATTCTTCTGTCAAATTGTTCCTCACCATCCTCTCTCTTTAACCATCTGATATATATTTTTTCTATTCTACTGCAACTGCATTCTTGCAGGTCACTAGTGACCCTCAGTAACCCAATTTATTGCCATTTTCTCAGTTGTTAAGTCTTCTTTACAGCTTTGACTTGACATTCTCCTTAAATCTTTTTTTCTCAGTTTCTGTGTTGCTATTCAATCCACATTTCCTTCCTACTTCTTTGACAGTCCTTAACTAGCTTCTTTTTCCCCCCTTTCCCTAAATGTGGTTGTTTTCCTTTAGGTACATCTTCTGCTTCCAGAGCTTCCACTGTTGCTTGCAGATAATGCCCAGATTTATATCTCTAACTCTTCTGTCTTTGTTGAACTCTGATTCAGCATTTGCAGCTGCCTTCTGGCTTACTATTACCTCAGATTCTTAACTGTGTTCCTTATCCTTACCAAAATCCAGGTTCCCCTTCTCAATTTCTGAATTTTTAAAAGATAATCATATAGTGCTCTTTGACTCTTCATTTTTGTTTTTCCTCTATATCCTATCATTTGCCAAGTCCTGTCTACTCTTTTTTCATAATGAATCCCAAGAATGCCACTTTATATCCTCATTGCCAGTGTCTTAGTTTAGATTCATACGTTTTGCTTGCACTACTTTTTAGTTGATTATACATATGCCTATCATAGTAACTATCTTTATCATTCTTCCCTTTTCCCCTCTCAAAGAAATGGCAGCCGTAATTGATCAGTCACTGTCTAGGATGTTTAAAAGATCATTAAGAATAGTACTTCCGTACTAGAGAAGAGCAAATTGTGTCCTCATTTTCAACAATGGGAAGAAGACAGAATCTCACAACTAGAGTCCAATGAATTTGACTTCAGTTTCTCAGAAAAATCCAGATTAGGTCATTCATGAGATGAATAGTGAGCTCCTAACAGTGATTTCAAAGATCCAACATAGTTTTATCAGGTACCCCTCATATTAGACTAATATTATTTCCTTATTGGATGGGGTTACTAAATTGGTAGATCAAGAAATTCAGTAGTTATAAATATCTAGATTTTAGCACAGCATTGTTAAAATAATTTATACTGTCATTTGGAAAAAGATGGAAATCTATTGGATAAATGATAATAAAGTTAGATAGATTTGATTCTGGTTGAATGGATGAACTCAGAGTGTTCATTAATGGTTCAATGACACCTTTGCAGGAGGTCTGTAACTTCTGCTTTCATGTTTTATCTCTTCTTTTTTTAATGCTTCAAGATTTGCAAAGCACTTTATAATGATTACTTCATTTGATTCTCTCTAGGATGTTGGTGCTGTTATTTTCATTTTACAGATAAGGAAACTGAGGCACAAATAGAGGTTGAGTGACTTGTCCAGGGCTGCATAGTGTCTAAGGTCACATTTGAATTCAGGTCTTCCCGACTCTAGGCCTATTGTTCTGTGCATTCTCTTACCTAGGAGAGGTTCTGTATCTTAGTTTTATGTGTATCCCCTCAGCATCTAACAGTTATTTTTTAATTCTCTTTTTATAACTAGCTGATAGTATTGTTTATTTACAATAGGTTGTTAAAATCACCCACTGTCCTACTTTGCTAACACGAGAAGGTGATCGAATTCGCAGTAATGGAAAATTTGGAGGCCTACAAAATAAAGCTCCTCCAATGGACAAACTTCGAGGGATGGTATTTGGTGCCCCACTTCCAAGACTCTATCAGACCCTGGGTGTCCACATAGGCAAGTCTGTTAGCTATGTTAATTATCTATTTACAGTATGCGGTGATCCTAAATGTTGAATTTGATGTGAGATTCTAACACAACAAATGTGAGTGATATCAGATATTGGCAATCCTGTATTTTCAGCTTTGAGTACTAGCAGATCTCTTTTTCTATCATATCTCTCTTTGCCAAATAATAAAATAACACCACATTTTCCCCATGATCACTTATCCAGCTATCCAGAAGATAGCTAGGAACAAGAAGGAAAGGAAAAAAAACCCAAATATCCAAACACCTGAATATCATGCCTGGAATTCTCTCTCTTCTAACCTCTATCTCTTGGCTTCCTCCAAGAAATCCAATTTTCTGCAAGAGGCCTTTCCCATCTCTCCCCATCCCCCTGTAATCCTAGTGCTTTACCTTTCATACTGTCTCCCATTTACACTGTCTGAGTGTGTGAGTGAGAGTGTGTTATTAAGCATTTCCTATGGGTTAGGCATTGTACTAAGAGACGTGTATTCAAAAAGAAACAAAAGACCATCCCTGCCCTCAATGAGCTCACAGTCTAATAGAGGAAACAACAAGCAAACAAATATGTACAAACAAGCTATATACGGGCTAAATAAGACATAATTAAAACACTGAAATTGAGAGGTTGTTAAAGCAAGCCTTCCTGAAGATGATGAGGTTTTAGTTGGGACTTCAAGGAAAGCAGTAGGCAGAGATGAGGAAGGAGAGCATTCCAGGCATGAGGTACAACCAGAGAGAATGCCGAGAGCTGAGAGATCGAGTGTCTTATTCATAGAACAGCTAGGAGGCAGTGTCCCTTAATTGAAGAGTATGTGGTGGAGAGAAAGGTAGAAGAAGCTTGGAAATGTATGAGAGGTTAGTTAATAAAGGCTTTGAACTTTAAACTGAAGATTTTGTATTTGCTTTGAGGCAGTAGAGAGCCACTCAAGTTTGAATGGGGTTTGACATGGTTGGACCTCTGCTTTAGGAAAATCACTTTAGTGACTGATCAGAGAATGAATTTGAGTGGGGAGAGACTTGAGGCAGGCAGACCCACCAGCAGGCTGTTGCAGTAATCCACGCAAGAAGTGATAAGGGCCTGCACCAGAGTGGTAGCAGTGTCAGAGGAGATACTGCAAAGGCAAAACAATAAATAAATAGATATTTTTATATACATATAGCTATATCCATCTATCTTTCTGCCTCTTCTGTACACAGTTGTTTGCATGTTGTTTCCATCATTAGAATATGTTTCTTGAGGACTGTTAGTGCATTCCTTTGTATCCCCAGCGCTAAGCACAGTATCTTCTATATCGTAAACATTTGATAAATGTTTATTGGCTTCACTTGATAAATTTCATATATTAAATGTTCACACATTTTATTTATAAGAGAGCCCTTGAGAGAGGATTAAAAGGATCAGAGAAAGCAGAAAGGAAAGATTTTTACTCTGGCTCTTTACACCTGTTTTACACACAGTGGCAGATTTGGTGTTTTGGTTTTTCTTTAAATAACAGATTACAATCATCAAGTCAGAAGGGACAGGGAGACCTACAAAAATAGTCACACTGGACAGGAGCAAAAATTGAAAGTTGACAGTCCTGACAATGAGACAAGACAAAAACTCTGTAAAAAGAAATCCAATAAGTTAAAAATATGACAAATTGGGGCCATTGAGGGTATGGGAATTTAACTACACATGCCTCAGCATGTGTGTAAGCATTTTATTGTCGATTAGTGGCATGGTAGATACTAGGCTGAGAGTTCAGGAAGACTAGTTAAATCCTGCCTCAGATACTTTTTGTGTGACATTGGGCAAGTGGCTTCAGATTTCTCTACTATAAAATGATGAGGTTGAATTCTGTGTCTAAGGTCCCTTCCAGTTTTACATCTATGATCCTGTGTTCATGTCAGTGATATTAGTTTGCCAATTAAATATTTATTCTTTTGGGGGGGGGGTGGCTAGGCAGTGGGGTTAAGTGACTTGCCCAGGGTCACACAGCTATCCAGATTTGAACTCAAGTCCTCCTGATTCCAGGGCCAGTGTTCTATCTACTATGCCACCTAGCTGCCCCAGTTAAATATTTATTAGAAAGAATCTTATCGTAAATGTTTAAAGGCTTTTTTTTTAAGTTCATGTTTAATGCAATCAGTAGCAATTATCTGGAATAGTCACTTCTGTTCTACAGTAGTCCATTGTTGGAACCTAAAAGGGCCTTCATGAAATTATATTGGCCAGTAATACAAAGCAATAGACCTTTTACGTGGTACTTTAAACTCACATGGGAACACAGTTTGGACTGTATAGAAACACCCAAGAGTAAAGGGGAAATTATGACAAGGGATACAGCCAGAATCTAGAAGATGAAGGGAACCTGGAGTCTGTCTGTTCATGTTCTCTGGTGGAATAGAGATAAACCAGAATCCGGAGAAAGGGTTCCTTGGATGCTAAGCAACAAAGAGGGAATCCACGGTATTCATTCAAGAGCTGCTTACAAGACTTTGTTCATTGTTAAGCCAAGTTCCTAATAATTCCTCCCATTGTCATGCATGCCATGTGTCAGTGCAGATCAAGGATGAACAGGGGACCAGATATTTTATAGTAGGGACAGTTTCAGATATTTATGATTAGATTTTTACCTCTGATATCACAGAGAGATTGCTTGGAAGATGAAAGTTTCAATTGCTTTCAAAAAAGGAAGAAGGTGCCCGTCAGAGATGGTAACATGTATGGAATAGCAAGGGCCTGTCACAAGAATGTTCCAGGCCCCCCAAAACAGAACTTCTTTTGGACTTGTATATATGGAATCTTTTTTCTCCCTTAGTAGGCTAGAGAATAGTGTTTTAGCAGTATAACTAGTAATTCTTTTTATAAAGGATCTTCCTCAAAAAAAAAAAAAGAATTTTGACAACTGCCCACAATGAGGAGTGGAGGGATCTTGATCTGAATGTAAGGAAAGAATAGTGCTTACAAAAGTGAGGTCACAAAACTGTCAGAATAGTTACTGTCCTTAACAATATTTTAATCAGATTTCTTTGTCTTCTGGTAGATCTTCTTCAGCAATATCGTTCAGCAGTGTGCAAACTCAATAGTGTGACTAAGGAACTTAATGCTCAAATAGACTACCTTAATACTCCAGATATGCAGAAGAAAAAACAGGAGCTTAGTGAACAGGAGAAAAATCTGGAACGAATAGAACAGAAACTAGGTATGTGTTCATTTTCTGTTAACACTTATTCTGTAGCAGAGATAATAATTTATGCTTTAGTTATTCTAAGAGTACTATCAAAGTATATTGGGGAAAGATGATAATGATGGACAGTTCATCTCCAAAATGCCCAAACATGGTCCTTAAATCACTTCACCATAACTTTTAGAGTTTTTTTTCCTGCTAGTCCGTGAATGGCATTAAAAGTTTTGTCATTCTGTCCTCTTTCCCCCTCCAAATTTCTAATAAGATTTGAGACTTTTATTTTTCTGAATTTTATAGCCAGTTTGGTTAAAATAATCTTTTATTTTTAAATCCATCTTTAAAGGTATGACTCCAACAGGTAAATGTGAATTAGTCCGTCAGGCAGCTAAACTCAATATGTCAGACAGCCCAATCCCACCTAAAAGAATGAGACGGGAAGCAACAAAAAAACTAAATCGGTAAGTTTTTGTTTCCTTAAATTTAATTTGATTTGAATAGTGATGATGGTTATACACATTGACTCAATATGTGGCAAAAGGTATAGAATTGGTGTTTTCTTTATCTAAAGCAGGAAATTGAGGAAATGTTGATGAGAATGAAGAACTTTAATCCCATTGCTAGACTTGCCTTGGTGCCATTCTGATTCTTTGAATTTTTTGTTGTGGTGGTGGTGGTAGTGTTTAATTACTTAGAAATATCACACAGAGAGTCTATTTTGATTTCTTTATATGAATACTTGAAATGCCCCACCTTACTTTTCTACTTTTTCCTCCAAACATGGTGGATTCTTCTTTACAGAATGACCAGTTATTAGGATCAGCAACCTACTTAAATTAATGTGAAAAATCCAAATAATTTGTACATTGATACTTTAAAAAATTCATAAAATTGTACGCTGACATTTATAAATCTACAAATTCATAGTCATGGTTTTAGTGAATTGGGTGCCATTTAGATTTCATGTCGTGCAAGCTACAGAATCATCTTTGACCTTTTGTCCTCAGGAATATAATGTAAATGTCTTCTTCAATTATTGTCCAAACCAATAGGACTATATCATATCTGAGGTGGTTAGTGGGACTTCTTGCTTTAGAGTGACTGATTCAGTGCTTAAATACTAAATATTTAAAATGTCTGTATAATTTCTAAGAGATATGTAAGGGGGTGTTCACATGAGGTGATCCCTAGAGATAACTGTGACTATTGTGTGCCCTGACTGCTCTGCTTTCAGTGAAGATTTTCTTTAGTGTCTAACATGCATTGAAGCAAGCAGGGGACTTTCAGGGAATCAGCCAAGTTGTTTTCTTAGTGATTAAATTTTTTCCTCCCAGAATCATACCTCTGAGTTATAATAGATTATATTATATAATCTATTATAAATGATTCATGGAGTAGTAGATTTTTGTTATCTTGAAAGTACCTTTTTGATCACACAGCTCACTCCTCTTTTTTTTTTTTTTTTACAGATGAAAATGTTGAGAGATGTTAAATGTGTTTCTTTTTTTCATTAATGACAAAATCTAGTCTCCTTACTTCTAGTATGTTACTTTTTCTTCTCCACCCATTATATAAAAATACTTTTATAAAAAAACTTTTTCGGGACACATTTGTCATTCAGTGAGATAACATCTAAACAGGTGTTTCTAAATAGATGGTCTGACAAAAATTTTGAAATGCTGTCAGTATTTTTCCATTGATATGTCTTTTGGTTAAAACTCTTGTTTTTAAAGAAAATCCTTGTCCTTGGGGGATATTTATACTGTTTGGAAATGGATCATATAGGTAGTTGAAGGGAGTATTATGGAAACAAAGAAAACTGACAATTCATATCAGTATGCAATAGTGTACAATATTTGTAGAGAATAAATATTAAACTTATTAATAAAAACATTTCAGGCACTTTTCCTGTTTTCTTATGAGTCAACATGCATTTATTAGACACCATCATTATATCAGGCATCATCTTAGATAGACCCTAGGGATACAAATAAAAATAATCAAACAGTAACATGCTTATCTAAGATCATCCAGTAAGGAATCCTTTCTTTACTAAAAAGGTCAATATGATCCTGTGAGGTCTATTATTTTGAGTTGGTTCTAACCCTGACTTTGGAAGCTGTATCACTAATTTGGAGTCCAAAGTTAACCAAATATGGCAGTGCTTCCTAGCCCTGTGGGCCACAGATTCATGTGTGGTAGAAGTTATCAAATATGTCATCTATCATGATGTACTTTTTCAGATAATCTATACTAGAAATGTAATTACTTTTATGTAAGGAGATGCTGGTGTGAACACTTTTAAAGAATAGACCTTTTTAAGTAGTAAAGACATGATTTCAGGGGGGAAAATGAACACACTTATGAAAATAGCTTAGAATTTAAAATGAATATCATGGTGGTCAATGGAAGGGTTAGAGCAGGCTGGAACATATAATGAATGAGGAACTTCAAAGAACAGTAATAAAAAATATCCTCAAGAAAAGATATGATAGGAAGATAGGCTGGTCATACGGTGAAAGCAAGAGGAGAGAATAGAGTACTCTTCCACTGGTAACATTTCAGTGTTAGGAGAAAGCCAAGAAGGTTTCCAGCATATTGAGTAGACAACATGTATGGACAGTAGTAGTGGGCAGGTATGGATAGGTTGCATCTGCATCATTCATGGGAATTATAATATCTGTGAGATAACATATCTAAGTATTTCAATTTTTTTTTAAAAAAAGTAATACTTAGAATGTTACTAATATCCTGTTTATGCATATTGTTATAATTAATATTCTTCTAATATATTAATTAAATTGCTGCTTATTCAAATTAATGTGTGCCCTGGAAAGTAATAGTATTTCTTAAAAGAAAAATCCATACTTTGGATTTGTCACTAATTTAGAAAAGATTCCTTCCCCACTTACATTTCCTGAAGGGTTTTCTCTGTGTTAAATTGCCATGCAATAAGAAAGATTAGTAGCTCTTAAATCTGATCTATGATCAGAAAATAGAATATTTTAATCAAGTTAATGAGCTAGGCTATACCTGAAAAATGAAAAATTTGTCAAAGCTAATATTTTTTCCCCATACTTAATTATATGCGTAATTTAGACCTTGACTTTATTACTAGGTTTTCTCTTTAGCATGAACTCTGCATATTAATGAGATATATCAGGGGTTTTTTGGGAGCAGGGTTTAAACTTACTGAAGAATCAATAAATTTTTTCTGTTCTGGAAGCTTTAGTTCCCCTTTTGATTTTAAAATTTACTTTTAAAATCAACTTAATGTGAAAAAACCATGTCATTTGTACATTGACACATACATTGCTCATAATTATTTTTTAGTTAATTGATTAAAAATTTTCATTTGAAAAATTAATAGTATGTAATGATGTTTAATTTCTCATTAGACCCTTTTGTTTAAAGGGTAAGAAAGAAAAATCATTATTTTGGTCTTAAACATTAATGAAATCTGACCTTTCTTTTTACTTTGTATTTAAGCTATCTTCTTTCTCCTTTTTACTTTTATTAGTCTTCTTCTAACTTAGATTCAGCAGCCAGAGGAGTAGTGTCTTCCAGTGCCCTTAGTGACCTTAGAAATCATGGTTTTTGGGTCATTCACTAAAACAAGACTATAGGCTTTGAGGTCCTTGCTCTAACCCTAAGTAGCTCTGTGATCTTAAGCATGGTGGTCCGCCTTTTGAGCAGTATACTTTTCTCTCTAAACTTGTTAGCGGGGCTGATCCTTGAACAGTCAGTCAGTCACCAGGCTCATATATAGTTAGGTGTGCCACAGCATGTACAAGTTCCTCTGGTATTGAACCAGGGTTTGGTTATTTCCATGCCACTATCAGTCATTGGAGTAGAACTTTAGAGGAAGTTGTGCAATATAATGTAGTTAAATTGAACATTTAAGTGACATTCTTCATTAAGCCACCTACTTGACTTCTATGCTTGTGTGTGTGTGTGTGTGTGTGTGTGTGTGTGTGTGTGTGTTCCATAGTAATTTTTACCACATTGAAACCAACTTTCTAAATGTTTTAAATGTTTTTGAATGTTTAAATTCTACATGGATCTAGGAATAGGATTCCAGTTCTGGATTCTGTAGCACTCTTATAACCCTCCTGAAGTTTTAACACTTTAGTTTCTCAATTCTCTGCTAAGTTCAGGCCCAGCTCCATGTAGAACCTGAGTACTTATACAATTATACACTATTGTATACAATTATACTTGAGTACATTATACAAAAACTGAGTCTCACAGTTGAAACTCTGTGTGGATATGTTCTACTCTCTTCCATTTTAAATAGATGAAAAATGGAGATACCCTTCTGAGTGTTTACCTGCATCTTTATGTGACAGACTTACTTTGTAAAAAATAATACTACTAAATTGAATGCTCGCTTCACACCATCTGCATTATGAGAAAACCATATCATACTCTTATTTAAAAAAAGATTCAGTGGTTTCCTACTCCTTCCAAAACAAAATACAAACTCCTTTCTTTAGCATTTAAAGCCTTCCATAGTCTGCTCCAGCCTCTCTTTCCAAAGTGATTTTACATATCCATGCAATGTTCAGTCAAGCTGGCCTCCGTCTGATGTGCTCCCTTCTGCCTCTGAGTACCTTTATGAGGTTGTCGGCCTTGCCACCCCCATCTTGACTCTTGGAACCTTTAAGTTTCTTCAAAGCTCAGATAGTGCTGCCACCTAGATTACTTGGAACTGCTATGTATATATTTTGTACTGACTTATCTGTACACGTGTTTTTTCCCTCCCCAGTAGCATGTAAGCTCCTTGAGGGCAGGGATCGTTTTCATTTTCATCTTCATATAACTGCTCCTACAGGTGCTACAGCAACAGCTACTGAAGACCAGGAAGGAAAGTTCTTGCTACCAAAGTCCTTGGTACTATCAAATAGCTCAACATCAGAAATTAATAAGATGTCATCAGTGGATGTGACATTAAAGAAGAAGCATTAACATCTGCTTTGCTGCTGCACCCTAAGGACCATGGGGCCTTTCCATCTGATTTGCAGTTGAAACCTTCCCTAGGTGTTGTCTCCATTAGAATGTGAGCTCCTTGAGAGTAGGGACTGTCTTATTTTTCTGTTTGTATCCCCAGTACTTTGCACATAGTAAGCACTTAATAAATGCTTGCTTCATTCACTCATCTCCAGATACAAAGAAATGTACATATATTTGCAGTTTTAACATCTTCAGAATATTATTCTTGTTCATTTCTCTCTACCTCATTCTAATTAAATGTTTCATAATTTCATGGAAATGAAGATGTGCATGTTAGTGTTAAGGCTAGCATATATTTCTGTCCTTCAACAATGTCTTCTTTATTAGAGGGGGCATTATTTTCTTTTTTCCTGCCAGAATCTCTATATTCATGCTAGTATTCTGCATGTTTTCCTTAGCCAAACAGAACTACATGTACCATTACAAAAAATAAAAATAAATGATGGAATACTGCACTTAATTGGCACTAGTTACATTACTTGGTAGCATTTATAAATGATACCTGTTTAGTTGGCTTTTTCAGTCTGCCAACAGATATTATGTATTAAGCCAGGTGCTGTGCTAACTGCTAGAATATAAAGAAAGGCAAGAAATGTTTCCTCTTTTCAGCTCACAGTCTAATGGGGAGACAACTTGCAATTATGTACAGACAAGATATATACAAGATAAACTGGGGAGAATCTTAGAGTGAAGTTTAAGGATTACTAGAAAGGGATTCCTATAGAAGATGGGATTTTAGCAGAGACCTGAAGGAAATTAGAAAGGAAATGAGGATCATTTAGTCAGGGAAAGCAATTCCTTAGTCTGTTTCTTAGCAATTGAGCACTTAATCCCAATTAACAAGCATTGATTAAGCACCAACTATGTACTCTAGACCATGGTGATTCAAAGATAAAAATGCCCTCTGCCCTCAAGAAACTTTACTTTCCCCAAAAAACTTGTTTGGGGTGGGGGAACATATATACACATATAACTAAAAGCAATTATTTCAAATTTAGATACTACAAGATAATTTTGAGTGTAAGGGACAAAAGCAGTAGCAGCTAGGAGTGATTAGGGTTTCCTGTAGGTCATGACATGAGCCAACTTTTGAAGAAAGCTAGAAATTCTGACAGGTAAAATTGGGGAACGCGTATAAGGCCTGGGGTACAGCCTGGGCTGGAAATGAAATGTTATATATAAGAAATAGCAGGTAGGCTATTTTGGCAGGAACGTGATGTTTATGAAGGGGAAGTAATAATATACAATATGTCATGAAAGGTAGGCTGGAGTTAGATTGATAAGGGTTTTGGAAGGGAGACCTGGAAGTTTGTATCTCTGAGTTAATTATTGAAGCTTATTTAATAGTGGAGTGATGTGGTCAGATCTGTGTCTTAGTACTATCAACTTGGCAGCTGTTCAAAAGATGGATTCTAAATGGGAGAGGGTGAGTAGGGAGAACAATTATGTGGCTTGACCAGTTGGCCAGGCAAGAGGTAAAGGCCTGAACGAGGGTGGTATTTTGGTATGAGTAGAGAGAAGAGAATAGATGTGACGTGATGTGGATGTAGAATCAGTCAAGAAGACTTAGAAACTGATTAGATATGTGGTAGAAGGGAGGGGAGAAAGAAGGAAGAATTCAGGATGACTCCAAGGTATCAAACCTGGAGAACTAGAAGGGTGCTGTTATTTTTTACAGCAGTATATAGATTGACAGCTGTGCACTGAAATTCACAAGCTTTTTTACCTTCATAAATATGTATGAGAAAATTATTACTCTCATTCACAACAGTTCGCATGGATATTGAGATATAATTCTGCTGGCCAAAAGTCTCCTGCTATGATGAAGAGCTTCCTTTCTCCTTACCTCCCTCCCCCTCTCTCCCTTCCTTCTTTCACCTCTTCCCCTACCCATGGAGAAGGCAAGAAGTACAATACCCATTTTACATATGAAGTCATGCAAAACATTTCCACATTAGCCATATTGTGGTGGTGATGGTGATGGGGAAGCAAGAAAAATAGAGAAAATGAAAAATAAAAATGTTTCAACTGCCTCAATAGTTCATCGTCAGTTTTGTCTCTGGAGGTGGATAACATTTGTATTATGAATCCTTTGGAATTGTCATGGATACTTTTTTTGATCACAGTATCTAAGTCTTTCACAGTTGATTGTGAAAATGTTACTGTTACTGTGTACAGTGTTCTAGTTCTGCTCACATCACTTTGCATCAGCTTATATAATTCTATCTTGTTTTTTTTCTGAAATCATTGTTTCTTATAGCACAATAGTATTCCATCACATTCATATATCATAGCTTGTTCAGCCACTCAGAAGTTGATGGGCATCCCCGATAAGGGATTTCAGCAAAAACAAATCTGTGGTACCTAAAACCTAATATATTTTCTTCTCCACCTTGACCAGGCTCATAACCAAATCAGATGTGTGAAAGTTGACAGAGGGACTGTTGGTCTCACTAAGAATGCACTCACTTCTGCAGCTCTGCTTCAGGAGACCAAGAGGGTGACTTACCAGACTGAATATTTCTGGGGACAATTCAAGTACCAAGGACATGAATTTCCATGTCTGTCCAGATGGGGCTGGAAGCATCCATTCAAAAGAGGGAATTTCGTTGGACAGTGTGGTCTTACTGGAAGTATCCCAGTCATCTTATAGCTCATTTGTGATATATTGCAAATGTGTCAAAGGAGACTGTTAGGTCTACACTTCGCAAATGTGGCAGTGATTATAAACCTGACACAAGGCAATTTTTCATCCTGAAGAAAATACATGCTGAATTCCAGTATAATTACCATGGATGTTGTGGAGAGATGTTTAATGATGACAGACGTTTTGAAAAACTGGACTAGTTTGAACTTAATGAAAATGTTTCAGCTATTGTGAACTAGGGAATTTACTCCAGAGATAAGGTTGTTGTAAGGTATGAGAGGAAACCGTTAATGCAGAGTTCAGGGTAAGAATGTAAATCCACAGGTGTTTGGTAATTCAAATGTTATGATGCTTCAGAAAAACCATAAAAGTGACCACAGTGCACATGCAACATGGTAGTGTTTTAAATTCTAGCTGCTTATCCTAATATGTACAGTATGTGCAGTGTGCGCAATTTTTTATAAGGAATCATTTGACTTGATGCTTGTTTTTATAAATTCTCAGCCTTAATGCTACATTAACATTGTTTTTGTAATTTTTGTTACTCTTTTTTAAAAGGTCAGGGAAAGTAAAATTCCGCATTCATGCAATAAATTACTGTTTTAAAAAACCATTGCTGAAACATTTAGAATGTGTTGTCCAGCTAGTATGTAACAGTATATGGAATCTTTGTCCACAAAAGCATTTTTCAAGTAAAATCAGCTGTTTTGTGTATTTATCAGGAGTTATTTCAGGGGACATTTATGCATCCCAGCAAATGTGTGGTTTTCTACCTTTCTGAACATGCAGCAAAATGAGAAACAATTATGTTTTCTCTCTTTTGAACAGGTACTGTTTGTTTTAAAAAAATAAAAATTTGAGATCACCAAGTCATTGTGGTTAGAACCATTGTGAGATGACTTATTCTATTCTTGTTTAAGCTGGTAATATTAAACAACTCTTACTATTAAAATTATTTAACTGTTTAAGTTAAATTTACATATCAGTACAGCAATAATAGAGAAATATTCAACCTTTGTTATAGTTTTGTTCCTTTGATGTTAGAAAAATCTAAAAACTGTCAAGAAGAATAAGCATATTATTGCTTATGACCAACATAAATTTTAGGAGCTATTTCCCTAAAATCTGAAGGTTGTTGCTTTTCATCATTTCCAGGTTCTCCTACCTGTAACTATGTGCTATATCATAATATCTAAAACAAACAAAAAAACCTTTTAAAGTTTCTTTAGAAATTACCCCATGGTCACCTAAAATTTTGTTTGAGAAGTATAAAAAGGTATTGTATGTCATCAGTATGGGGAGTTAAATATTGCTGAAAAACATTAGATTTTATTAATCCTTCCAATACCAAACAAATCTAAAGCTTTATTGCATTTTTTTAATTAATGAAAAAATGATATCTCAATGGTCATGCAAGACTTGATTGTTAAGATTTACCTTCAGTCAAGAAAGATCTCATTCTTTTCCAGCGGCATTTGCTGGGGGAGAGAGGGAAGAGTGTTTCTGTCCCTTTTGCATTTAAATGTAACTGAAAGTCATATTGTGTGTAAGTATTAAGACACTGTATACTATGTTCTAAACTTGTAAAAAAAAGAAAAGTAGAAATGATTTTATTTATATTGCACCAGAACCAATAATAGAAATTTGGCTTAATTATGGGAAAATAAGCAGAAGCACAAGGATTTTATTTCTATCAATTAAAAGTCTTAAGTTCTCGTTCTTCTTTTAAGTTGTTCTTCTTTTGTAAAGAAGAAAACTGGCAGAAGTGAATACTTTAAAGATAGCATTCACACTGCACTTTTAATACCCATCCAGACCAATGAATATTTATCATAATATTTGTCCTAATAAACCTAACATCTGTCATAAGTACAATAAAGAAAAGTGGACCAATATTTTTTGAATATCAAAATGAAGATTCTTAGTAGTAAAATGTGTGGATTTTGGAAACAAGAACTTGTTCTGTTCTCTTTAGTTAAAGATAAACTTCTGGTGCATATTTGCCGTTATTAACCTTCCATCACTTCTTTTGCATATTACTTTGGGTATGTATTTTTGTGCAGCTTTACAGTAAATTTGTACTTGTAAAATTGAAATTATATTTATTTAATTTTCATTAAAAGAATTCAATATTCTAAAGAATATTACCATCTGTTTAGCAATTGCTGTACAGATTGTTAGTAAGAGGGGAATATTTGGTTTTTAAAATTATGTGGGTTTATGTTTAATTGCTATTTAAATATTAGTACCCCAAATAATAAGACATTTCCATTTTATACTTTTAGCCCCTTTGTGACCTGGTCACACAGTCACTAAGAAACAAAACAAAAGAAAAATAATTATATTTTTAGTACATAATTTTGAAAGGCTAATGCTTTAAGTACAGTGTTTGAAATCTGTGTAATTTTGTATCAAAGTGTCATTAATGCTTACTTTGTGGGTATGATAGTTGTACTCCATATATTTCACTTGTTAAATATTTTCATGCAAAAAAGAGAAATCTTCGTTACATATATAATCATTTATAAAGATTCTTGTTTTTGCCTATAGCTGTGAAGTACTTGTTTTTGTAAGTTTATTTTCTTGTGCATTGTCCTTTTGACCCCCCCAAAATGATTTTGAAGTCTAATGTTACATATGCGTGGATACAGTGAAAGGGAAACAGGTTACTTAAGCTTACCGTGAGAGCAACAAATCAAAAAATTAGGTTCTTATCAAACAAATTTTTTTTGTGATGGATCATTCCATTATAGATTATTTTTAAATTTAAACTCCATTAAAATTCAGAAGTATTATTGAAATAATTTTCTTTTGTAAACAAACCAAATGTGCAAACTTTTGAAAATAGAAAAATTTTCAGAGTGGCAAGCTTGTTGACACAAGTAGCCAATGTTACAAGTTGGGACAACTCGGAAATGCCATAGAATTTAAAATCTTCAGACTAGCAGCATCTTAAAAATTTTGACTCTAAAGTTAAAAAAGTGGTAATACTCAACCTATAGTTAGCAAGACAATTCACGTAATTTTTGTTGCTAAATCTCAAATTACTGTAAGGTTAACAAATACCAGAAGTCCCTACTCTTGCCCACCTGATTTTCTACAGTGAAACTTTTAGTTAAAGTCTTCTGGGCCTTACTATCTACCCTTCCTCTACATCAAAGGTGTGAGATTCGTGGCCCCACTGCATGTAAAACTCCTGAGGTAGGGAGGGGGGAGTACCACTATCAGAATTTTGGGGAAGTATTTGACAAAGATGCAACACAACATAGATAATATTAATATGTGGTTTTCTGAGTCAATATGCTGCCCATAGGATCCCTTTATATTTGAGTTTGAAACCACTGTTTTATGTATTCCAGACTTCTCAACACTGTTATCTTACCTGATAACCTAAGGACTTCTGGGTTTTGCCCTCTGCCCTGCAGTTGAACTGTTTTTTATTTTTTGCATCCTTTGCCCAAGTTAGAGGGTGAGCTCTTTGAGAGCAAGGAACAATGTCACTTTTCCTCTTTCTGTTCCCAGTGCTTAGTACAGTGCATGGCACATAACATGGTAAGCGCTTAACTAATGCTTTTTCATTCATTCATTCATTCATTGATTCGTTCATTCAATAAACACATTACAATAATGTTAAATCTAGTGGAATAAGTTTGCCTCCAAGTATAGTTTTGTAAAGCTTCATTCTTCTAGCTCCTTAAATTGAAATTCTTCCTGTTTGCCCTAAGGAGCTTCTTTTTCTCTGGTCTCTGAGTATTAGAATACAAGGTATTTAATTTTAACCTTCTATTAATAGGATTTACTACCTTCATTGCCCTTCCCCCCCCCCCATTTCTGTCTTTCATTCTGTCAGGTGGGCTTATGTATTCATTTGGGTTTTTGAAAAAGATCAAATTGAGTTTTACTTTGGATATTTGTAGATAAACCATTATAGAAAGTAGTGACCAGTGAACCTATTTGACTTCACGCACTGTTCATTACATGTAAAATCAGTTATGACTGAAACAATAAAACTAATTAGAACGTGTGCTTAGCAAGGACAGCAACTGACGTAAAATATTCTGTTGTGTTGGTCTAGAGTCAGTTGTAATATTTTAGAACTGAAAGGGTTATCTACCCTGTCACCCTTTCTCATTTTTTAAAGATGTGTTTCTGTGCTGAAATTACTCGGATTAACAAATTGCTCAGTAATAAATTTCTTCTTCATGTTTTCAGATGTGTTTTGGAATTGTCTGTTTTAAATTGTGAAATGCAAGGCATATTTTTCTTCTTCTAGTAGTTCCAAAGAATGGATTACATCTCCCAAGAAAAAGCAGAAAATCCACCCTTTCACCAGAATGTAATGAAAACGGAAGAGAAAGCACATGAAGATACCAATTAGATTGGTTTAAAAACATCTTTGTATTGACTTATGTGAATATGTATAATTAAATATTCACATTAATTGTCTAAAGATTTTTATACAGATAGAAATTGGTTTTTTGTTGCTAATAACTACTTTTGGGGAGAAGTTTTTAAGTAGGTTTGCCTAAGTTTGTGTAATTTTCATTTCTGAAAAGTTAAGATGTCTTGGGATTTTGAATGTGGAGTTAAGCTTTAATCTGCTCTTTATTTATGGAATATTAAAAGCTTTTCAATAAATGACAGTGCAAACATAGTTATTTAAGTTTCTCAATATAAATTGAGCCTTTCTTTAAAATTTCTTGATCAACCTCATTTTACAAACGAGGAAACAGAGAAATCAGTATGGCTAGATGACTTGCTCAAGATCACTAATAATAAGTCCTGGAGCCAGAATTCAAATACAGGTTGCTAAATCTCATAACTTCGGAATTGGAAAGGACCTCAGAGACCAAGTCCAGTGTGTACCTGAAAAGGAAGCCACCCTTCAGTGTGCCTGGCAAGTGGTCATCCAATCTTTATTTGAAGACCTTCAGTAACTAACTACTAAGACAATCAGTTTCACTTAGGCATAGCTCTAATGATTAGAAATGTTTCCAGAAACTTGCTTCTTTTCAGGTTCAGCATATTGCTATTGGTTCTGCCTTCTGGGTCCACACTGAAAAAGTGTTAAGTCATTTTCCACATAATAGTCCTTCAGATGCATGAAGGATCGCTATTATGTCTTGTCTTCTCTAGGGTAAACATCCCTAATTTCAGAAACTGATCCTTATAACATGAGATCAAGGCCTTTCTCCTTCCTTGTCTCTCCTCTGAACACTGTCCTTCTTACTTGTGTCCTTCCAAAATGCAGATAGTAAGTAGTAAAGTCAGAATGTTAGGTTATAGAGTTACAGAGTCACAAGATTTTAAGTTGGGAGAGACCTTAATGATAATCTAACCTATTCCAAAAAAGAAATCCTCACTGACACATACTCAATAGCCAGTTCCCAAACAGGAACCACGATCTTACCAGTTGCCTATCCACCTACACGCTAGTTGCTATTCTAAGTCCAGAGACTTTTTGGAGCCTCTCTAGCCAGGAGGAGATGATGTACTCAACATTAGAGGGAGGCTTAAGGCAGACCGTAGATGACTAAAAATAAAGAGAGTGGATACTTCCACTCTGTGTCACTCCTCTGTAACCAACCAGGCCCTAGGACTTAGCTTTGATCGTCATGGAGGACCAAGGAATCACGATTTGCCCTGCTGCTGACACAACCTTTATATCCCAACTTGCTCAGTGAATGATGATCAAGTCTATAGCACCATTGCTACCGTGAAGTGTGGGACAGTCAGTTGCTCAATGGCTCTACTCAGAGTCCTTCATTTTCAAAGTTACAGACTGAAATTCTTCCCTCGCTTAATTCTGTTTCCTAATCCCTATCCACCTCAGACCTACTTTTTCCAAGTCCTTTGCTGTACTTTTCTATTGTACTCTCTAGAACTGTTGTTTGATCTTTAAGAAGCTTTCTTTCATATTATACTTTTTCTCTCACACTCATCGCACTCTTAGAAACATGGTCTTTTTTCCCCTTTGCTTCCCCCCTACCTCCATCAAAACATCCCCTAGAAGATACCACATACCTAGCCGCTTGCTTAGTACTGTATGCAACTTGCTTTCCCCAACACAATAATCCAGGAGAAGGAATATGCATGTTTTTTGATCCTTACCACTCTGAATCTTCCTCTTATCACTAAGCAACTCCTTATCCTTTGAGGGCCCCTTTATGCATTTATTACCCTATCCAGATGCCAATGGATAACCTCCCGCCCCCCCCTTTTTTTAAAGGAGTTAATGTTCATTGTCTTTCACTTCCCCAACCTCTTCTCCCTATATATTTGATGTCCTTTCAGATACCCCTTCTTTCCAATTCATAGACCTCTTCATAATCTCTAATCTGCACCTTCATAGCTGCTGGCAAAGAGTCACTTTCAAGTGTACTAATTCTGCTATCCATAACTGGTATTCTTTCTGACCGTAACTTCCTATCCTTTCATTTCTCCTTGTGCTTCATTCTATCTCTCCTTGCTTTATGATGCCATCCCTCCTACTATTACTTCCCTTTCCTCCTTCAAAACCTTGAATTTATAGTTAACCAGTTCAGTTTTACATTGCATTCTACTCTTGAGTCCCTTGCCCCATGTCCTGCCCTTGCTCGTCCCTATCCAAACCCTACCACCATATCTGCCTTCTTTGTTACTATCCATTTATGCTGAAATCTGATGGAGGAATTTGCCCTCACTGCTGAATGCCCATCTTTTTCCTTCTTCCAAATCGATTAAAATCCTTTCTTCCCAAACCAATTATACTACCCCACCCTCTACATCTCAGTAGAAATGCTTCTATCTGCGTTGACTTCAAAATTCTTTCCCTGGATGTGGATAGTATTTTCCATCGTGAGTCTTTTGGAGTTGTCTTAGATTCTTGCATTGCTGAGAAAAGCTAAGTCTATCAAAGTCATCGCAAAATGTGGCTGCTACTGTGTACAGTGTTCTCCTGGTTCTGCTGACCACTCAGCATCAGTTCATGTCTTTCTAGGTTCCGTTGCATTCATATGCCACAACTTGTTCAGCCATTCCCCAATTGATGGGCATCCCCTCATTTTCCAATTCTTCACCACAACAAAAACAGCAGCTATAAATATTGTTGTATAGTGGGTCTTTTTTTCTTTTTTATGATCTTTTTGGGATACAGAACTAGTAGTGGTATTGCTGGATCAAAGGGTATGCAAAGTTTTATAGCTCTTTGAGCATAGTTCCAAATTGTTCTCCAGAATGGTTGGATCAGTTCACAACTCCACCAACAATGCATTAGTGTTCCAATTTTCTTCTCCAGTATTTATCATTTTCCTGTTTTGTTGTAGTAGCCAATTTGATAGGTGCAATGTGGTACCTCAGAGTTGTTTTGATTTGCAGTTCTTTATTCAGTAATGATTTACAGCATTTTTTCCCGTATGACTATAGATAACTTTAATTTCTTCCCCTGAAATTGCCTGTTCATATCCTTTGACCATTTATCAATTGGGGAATGACTTGTAGTCTTATAAATTTGACTCAGCTCGCTATATATTTTAGAAATCAGGCCTTTGTTAGAAATACAGGCTGTAAC